TGTTGATCCCAAAACTCACAAACAAGAAACTAAGGGCTTGACACTTAGATATCATTATGTAAGGATCAAGTGGGGATGTTGAATCATTGTTGACCTGTGTGTGTGCAGGTCTTTGCTTTGGTCTACTGCAATTGAAGAAGAAGTCCTACATAAGGGATTCAATTTTCTGTTATCACTCGATAACAGGTCGGTCGTTGCCTTTAACTCTTTCCACGTTGACTTGATACCTACATCCAAAAACAAACCCTGTGGTCAATAAAACTGCCACAAGTGGTCATCGCCTAAATGGTCCTGGTCACTCTCAAGGGTCCTTTGAATAAATGTGAGGGGGCTAGGCTTGCATCTCAGGAAAGATAGAACGGTCATGCATGGTTTGGGGAGTGAGGGACAATGTAAGTGGTTGATGGTTGACGCCGTTAGTGCATGGCATGTGAATTGTCTTTGCATTATGTTGTGCAGGTCTGTTTTATGCATGATTTGGGCTGGACTGGAATTGACATCGTGAAGAGTTTGGACACTCAGCACTTGTGAAAGTGGGAAGGGTTCCCAGCGGTAATACCTCGCTATTCATAATCAAGTCTTTTATACTATCTGATGGTCAGTCATACGTTGAGAGAAATAAATTATCTTGGTAGTGACAAGGTTTTGATACGTTCATAATAGAGGTCAGAAGGAGAAAGTGTTTTGAAAACAAAAGCGGGAATAGACGACCGTCTCAAAGTTCGACATGAATATCTGACGGGTCAGTCCGAAGCGTCTTACCGCGCGTACCCCATTTCATGCTACAGCGATCGAGCGAACGCCCTCGGCCAACCTACCTCTGCTCAGGCATATAAAAAGCCTTCGCACGTGGGCCGGTAGCTCAGCAGGGATACGCCTACCTAAGGGTGGTGACTACCCCTTGGGTAGAGGTAAGTTGTACCTCGCGACGTTCCGACCTGCCGCAGGGCGTTGTGAGAGGTATAGCACGCACGCACGGTTGGAGTGGTAACTGTTTCTTATAAGACGAAACAACCTGCGTGAGACGACCGTGAGGTTCAGCGCACCCCAGCAGGGCGCAGGACTGCCGCTCGCGACAAGTGGCGCCGTTGCTGGGGACCTTCGGTTGCCTGCCGAGGTCCTATGTGAACGGACCTGGGCTTGGTTTATTGAAGCCCTAACAAAACGACAAGTAAAAGGGTAAGATAGTATGTGAGTCTTCACCAGGTAAAATATAATATTTTGTTGGTACGGACCTAGTGTAGGAAAGGGTGCTTTGGGAATACGACAAGTGCGAGTTGATACCCTGAATAACATCTCGACAAGCTTAGTTTGTACGTCCCCTTGGAAGAAACTTGTTCCTTTTGGCTGCTAGAGGGAGATCATAAAAAATCATCCAAAGCGGAAAACCTAATTGGAAGCTACAAAGTTCATTCGAAAGTTTTTTTCTCTGTAATAGACCTGTCTGATTGTGACACTTCTTCCTATCATTCATACATCGGGTAGGAATTCATTAGTAACTATACATATCTTGATTTTAGGTATTACCTCAATTACGTACTTAGGGTTCTCCTCCTTGAGGTAAAGCTTTCCACCATACCTCGCGGAACCTTAACTGGAAGAGGTAGAGGAGGACGACAAGGAAAAGCGGCAGAAAGGCCGATAGACTTAACGAGGGAAAGAGCAGAGCCTAAAGAAGAAGAGGAGGAAGAATAAAAATGGGAAGGAGTGCGTTTGCGCCGGCGTCTAGAGGATTTTCGCGAGCGCAGGCCATCCCCCGAAAATATAGCACATTACTCTTATAAGTATGAACAGCATTATGGCGCTCCGCCGCCGCGATTTGAACTACTTTCATCACGCCCATATCCTGCGCCGTCGTCTTCCATGGCACGCGGCCCTCAACAATTGGCCATAATTCCCCAACCTCCTCAGCCTACCCTTCCACCTCCACCGCCATACGTACTTGACCCTCCCGTGGAATCTCAGAGTACCCCGACGAACCACCGATTATGTATCACCCTAACATTATTTTTCCTATGCCAAATAGAGATGTGCGGACTAATCTCGTACCTGATATATAAAGGGGTCATCTAGAGGAGGGGAGTAAGGGTAGGTTCTCTCATCGCTGATTAAAAGAGAGACGTGGGAAAATCCATTTGAGTGGAATTGAGAAAGGTAATTTGGATCCTCATGATCTTTATTGAGGTTAGATCAGGAGAAACTAAAGAATAAAGGGGGTATGCCAACGAAGCTACGGAAAAAAGGTACCTATCTTTAGGTCAAGCTATTCCATAGTAAGGGTACCCAAGAATTAGTGACTGAAGCAGTACATGGAATAAGTTGTCCTTTGGCTTATCCTTGTGACAGGTCTTCGAGATTTGATCAAGATGCCTTATGCAGAGCAGGTGTCCGGGGTCGAGACACCCATTAGGAACAATGATGGTTTGAAAATGACACTGCCTAAAGGGAAAGGCAGGGCTGAACTTTGCGACACGTGGTGGGACCACTTGTTAGGGGCTGAAGCATTTATATGGGTAGAAAAAAGTTGGGATACGATAGAAGAATGCAGCAGTTTGAGAGTGACTATTTACCTGTCCGCTCGTTTAAGGCGAGGTCGTCTTAATCGAGGGGAAGAGGGGTATCTGCTACAACTTATCGTGATAGCGGAAGCCGCGCTCAATGTCTGGATCCGAGAAAGTCAGTGGCAGGAAGCGGGAGAGTTTAGAAGGGAAGTTAAAGTGTTTTCGGCTAACGACTTTGTCCTTTCGATTCGTTACATTAGAACCACGCTCCCTGATTTCGTTATCAACGAGATGTTTAATGGCCAAGCAAGGGTGGAGTTGGCGGTTGAAGCTGCACTAAGAGTATCTAATAGAGGGTATGACTTCTCCACTCCTCATATGATTTACTTCTTGTACCTAGAGATGACGTCCGAACTAACCGAAAGTGATTTCAGCAACATTTTATCCATCATCGACGCATATGCTCGAACCTACCATACGGAGGAAAGGTTTGGTTATTGGAAAAAGATGAAAGAGGAAGTGCGCTCAAGATCTGCGTGGATGGTGTTCCCGCTATGTTTGGGTTGGTCTATAATTTTTTGGTCTGGGGATTGGGTTACGGTAGAAGAGATGGAAGAAGAAGAGAGAAAATTTGTATTCTAGAAATGACAGAAGAAGATGGCAAGAGAATACGAAGAGCATGAAGAGAGAAAAGAGAAAAAGATGAGACAAAGGGGAATCGGTGAGTACCTAAAGAAGAAGAAGGGATAAGTACCGAGAAGAGGTAGGAGTGTGATATAAGGAGATAAGAAGATTAGGGTAGAAATGTCTATGTCGGCAAAAGAAAAAGGAAAAATATAGAGGGAGGATATGTCAATTCCAAATAGGACTCACATATAAATACTGTGTGTTTTTTGTCTCTCATTTTTGTATCGCTGAGGCCACCAACGAGCATCCCAAATATGTTGTATGCCATTCAGGAATTCGGAGTTGAACTTCCCGTTCGTACGCCACAAGGGTTGAGAATGTCCCTGCCTAGAGGCATGAGCGAAAGAGAGGAGGAGATCACCGCATGGTGAGGCATCTCAATCGGGCCGGAAACGTTTGTATGGGTTGAAAGGGGACACACCCTCGATCGAGAAAGTATAATAGTACGAGCAACATTGTATCTTTCATCGCATCTGTGGAGGGTGCATGGAGTAGATCTAGCGATAGGGCACAGTCAACCCTTATCACGGTACATGCTAATCACTGAGACAATTCTTAAGGAGAAAGTCCGAGAAGCAAGCTGGGGGAAATTCAGGGCGGTGATTTCAATGATAGAAGCAAGGTGGGCATCGGAATTTGTTTACCCCACCAATTATATAATAGACACTCTTCCAGACTTCATCATTGATGAAGTTTTCCATGGACACGTAAATGTAGAGCAAGCGGCCTAGTTGCTCGAGCGGCGCCCCAGGGAGGGTGCAAATTTTTCACACAAGAGGCCCTCTACTGCCTATATCTGGAGATGGGGCCGGAATTGGTTAGTAGGGATTTGGAGGAAATCCTATCAATAGTTAACACTTATGTCCGCGTTCATTTCATAGAACCAAGGCAAACGTATTGGAAAAAGCTCAAGGCCGAAGTAAAAATCAGGGCATATGTTGATAGTATCCCCGTAATGTTTGGAATGGTATATGATTCCTGGACAGACGACTGGGTGTTCGCTGAAGAGGTTGAATGAATGGGATGGTAAGGAAGGTGACCTGAATCAATTTTAGGTCTTAAGATGACGGAAGAAGCTGGACTTGGATACTTAGAAGCAAGATAGGGACGCTGGTTAGGAAAGTTAGGGAGTACCGATTAATGAGGAAGGATAGGGATCATGAACTAGAAATGTAGATGCAGAGAGTCTTGAATGGTATATGGGATAAAAAAGGGAAAAATTTAAAAGGGAAAAAAGAGTGAGGTGGCCAAAAATTTAATTTAAACAACCATCGTTTTGCCTGTGTAACACAGATTTGCTAAAAACAAGCGGGGAAAATGGGAGACGCAAATGGGGCAGAGCCCATAATGGCGGCCGAGATCGCACGATTACTGGAAAGTAGAAACGTCAGACAGTCTCAGCTACCCCGGATAGAGATTTCTCCATTCCAAAGGGAAAGAGAATCGCACTGGCTTGAGTTGCTAGAGCAGACCTTCAATCGACTGACGCTGACAGAAAAGTTCGTCCAGTTATTCGAATATGTGTGGTGGGAATATCGCCCCGACGTTGAACAGATTGTGACTGATGCCCAAGGGGACTGGAATAATTTCAAAATGAAGATGCAAAGGAAATATAAGCTGGGAGATGGATTGTTGACGATCGACCAGCTTTATAACGTTAACCGAAATGATTTCACCACGATAGGGGCATTCGCAACGGCCTGCGAGAAAATGGCGAAACGAGTGTCAGGGCTTTCCGAAGAGATGCAATGTGTCATCCTTTTGGGAAAGTTATCAGGATATGAGACTATTGAGCTGACCCGGAGAGGGGCTCGAGGGAAAAAGACTTCCTGGGAGACGATAAAGAAAAATTTGGCATCCGGGGATCTAGACCAGGTATTCCACCATCAAGTGAAGATGGAGAGCAAACGAAGGAAGGAAATAGGAATCGTCCAAGGAGCTGACTCAGCCTTAGGAGGGGTGTTGAGTAGTATGGTCACTCAACTAAAAGAATTGAAGGACAAGGTGGAGTCGGAAAAAGTAATGGTAGTTGAACAAGTGACGAATAAGAGGAGACATGAGGAGCAGAGTGACAGAAGTAACGGGGAAGCAAAAATTGAAGTGGTAACACAAACTAAGAAGGCCCAAAAGCAGAAGCAAAACCAGACACCAAAGAAACAGGGGACAAAAAAGGGACAGAGTTCACAACGAACTAGGGTAACGAATGTCGCAGGAGCATCAGCCCCGGTTCCTCCATTTGGACTATGGTCAATGGTGGCTCCTATGGGGGCATGGCCGGGATATTACCCCAGGAATCAATGGCCGGGTTTTGGTCAAATTGGGATGAACCCAAACTTGCCCCAGCTTCAAGGAGCCCGGGCGAGACCATCCCAAAGGCAAGGAGCAAGTGGAGGAATGCCACAACAGGCCCTACCGCCGCAAGGTAACCAAGGACAATTTCAGGGACAAGGGCACGATCAAGGGCATAGTAAGGGCAGAAATGGAGGTAGAGGAAATGACAATGGAGGGAGAACATTCGGAGGAAGAGGAAACGGTGGAGAAGGTGGGAATTGGGGAAATCAAGGAGGACATTAAACTGGAAACTACAACCAGTCAAACTTTAATCAGATTGGACAAGGTTATAACCAAGGTTTTGGTCAAGGTTATGGTCAGGGTTACGGTCAAGGCTATAACCAGAATTACGGTAGAGGGTTTGGAAGGAGTGATGGGCAGTGGAATGGTCAAGGGGTCGGACGAGGATGGATAGACTACAGTGAATGTATATGTACACACTGTACGATAGAAGGACATACCGTAAGAAGGTGTCATACTAGGAGGATGGATGAGCAGGACGGATTGATCACATCCAGTATCGACGGGAATGTGTTCGATAGGAGGGGAGACAAAATCGACCCAAACATCCCTGGGGGCACGAGAAAAGAAGCCATTAGAGTTGCGGGACTTGGACCAAGTGCCCCTGCCATGTTTCGTATATGGTAAGAGAAAGAGGATCTTTTGTTTGGGTAGAAGAAGTTGACGAACTAACTGACCAACTGAAGAAAGGAGTAAGGATTAGTGAGGAAGGAGAGAATACATCACTGGTTGAGCTTGAGCCAGAAGAAGATAGTGTAGTCAGAGAGTCTGCAAGGAAAACCCTGGGAAGGATGGAAAACATGATAGATAAGATGGGCAGATTAAATGTATAGATGTATGACATCTGCGAGGAGGTGAGGGACCTAGAAATGAAAATGCCTCATGTATTCACGATGGGTCAGGGGAAAGAAGATGATGGACCAAGGGCTCCTAACCCCAGAGCTTTGAGAGTCACTCTGGCTGCTGGGTCAGAAGCCGCTTATCAGGAACTAAGGAACTTTGTTCCTCATACTGCACGTAGACTTAAAGGAGGAAATGCGCCAAAGGAAACCGCACAAGCTCCGGTACCACCTCAAGGGGGAGCCTCTATCGAGATAGAGGAAGAGGAAGAAGAGGAACAGAACGAGCTACCTAAGGAAGAAGAAGATAGACCGGCTGAGTTGAAGGCTAAGAAACGAAAGATTGATGCTAAAGGAGGAAAGGAAAAAGCTGGGGAGAAATCAAAGAAGAAATGGAAGTACCAGACATCGATTGAAGAAGGGGTTGATATAGAGAACCTGGTCAATAAGTTTCTTGAGGGATATAATGAATTGATGAACTTGAAAGAAATTTTGGCAACTGCGCCTAAGCGCAGGGAGCTAGTAAAAGCAAAATTGGCAAGAAAGAGAGTCGCAACAGTAAAGATGGGAGATCTGATTCCCAAGGAAGCCAACTGGACGGTAGCCGGAAGCAAGATGAACTGGAAATCTGTAGGGACTGGATCCATTGACGAGAGTATTAGGGGGAAAGGATGCCCTGGGATGGTGGACACAGGAGCAAAAATAAATATCATGAATTTTGAAACAGCTAAGAAGCTGGGGTTGAAAATCGACAGGAGAGACAATGGATATCTTAATGGAGCGAGTGGAAAGTCTGGTTACATAGGGATTGTCTAGAATGAAATTGTGGAAATAAGAAATGTCAGGGTCCGATCCTGTTTCTACATCATGCCTACTCTGGATCTTCCTATATTGTTAGGAAGGTCTTTCTTATTACGATCAGAAGCCCTTATCATGAACAAGCACGATGGGACTATGTACGTGATCCTGTGTGATCCTGCCTGTGGTAACTTCGAAGTTATCACCTGTAAAAATACAGGTCCTCATAGCTCGAAGAACCGGCTCAGCGTTGGGTCATATACCTTCGAGGATTCCGAGAATAGGAGAAGAGAATTAGAGTGGGGGTCTGATGAGGAGGGTCAGGAAGAAGAAAATGGAGGATTGACCTTGAATCTGGCCAACATCGACCAAGCAATGTACATGGTGTCCGCGTATGATATGGCAGAACCGGAGGCCATTCGGGCTTTGGCCGACAAATTGTACGATTTCCCTGAACGAGGAAGGATGCAATTAGTGTACAGGCCGCCCCCTAGAGAGGAAAAAGTGTAGGGACCATATGCTCAAGCATGTGGTCAACATTTTTAGGGGTGGGCTCAAGCAAGGGGGAAAAAAAAGGTACAAGACGGTAGACAAAAAGAGTCACCCTGTCCCAGTCTTAGTGACACATGAAGAGGGAGTATTCTATGAGCAAGAACGAGAATTGATTAAGCAAATGAGAGAGAAATGGGAAGCTGAATCCTGTCGTATTAACGAAGAGACTGAGAAAGACCTAATCATTGGTGAACCTGAATTCTTAACCAAGCAAGAGAGGGCGTTAGTAGTTGACTTAATGAAGGAAAAACACAGCGCGTATGCCTTCAACGATGAGCAGAGGGGAAGGCTGGATGTGGACAAGATATGGATAATCCGAATTCACACAGTTCCACATCAACCTTGGAATGTTAGGGGAATCAAGTATCCGAATCCCGATGATCAAAGACGGGTAGTAGAATATCTTGATGGGAAGATTGACTTTCACGTGGCAGGGTTTTCTAGTGAACCTTATGCCTCGCCCTGGTTCTGCTTCATCAAACCAAATGGAGTACTTAGGTGGGTGCAAGATTTGCAAAGACTGAACGCTGTAACATTTAGGGATGTTGGAGGACTCCCTAACGCTGATCAACTCTTTGAGGCCTGTGCTGGAAGATCCATTATCTTGCTCATAGATCTGTACTCCGGTTATGACCAGTTCCCAGTGTCTCTGGCAGATAGGCCGATAACTGCAATGCATACTCTAAGGGGATTGATTCATATGAACGTGGCAACCCAAGGATGGACGAACGTGGTAGCCATGATACAAAGGAGTATGGTGAGAGTCATGCAGCCAATTAGTCCAAAGATTACAGAACCGTACATCGATGATCTAGCTGTGAAGACCCTATGGTGAAAGATGAGCACGAGGTTGCGCCTGACATAAAGAAGTTTGTTTGGGATCATGTCAATGATCTCAGGAAAATACTCGATTTGTTACGAGAATATAATCTTACGGCTAGCGGAGCATAGTCCAAGCATTGCATGAGTGAGGCTACTATATTGGGCTTTGTATGCAACAAGCAAGTTCGTCGTCCAGACCTCGGAAAAACGAATAAGATCCTTAAGTGGCCTACACCATTCAGGAACGTTAGCGAAGAAAGGTATTTTCTTGGAACGTGCGGGTTCTGAAGGATTTTCATCGAACGGTTTGCTGCTAAGACTGAACATGTGAGGAAGCTGGTAAGAAAGAATCAGGAATGGGAATGGGGAGAAAAGCAGGAACATGTGGTGAAGAGTTTGAAGAAAGAATTTAAAGAAGGAGGTTTTGTGTTGGGGGTCCCTGATTATGAAGTTGTTACAGAACGACCCTTTATCATAGAGACTGATGCTGGACCCACCGCTTTGGGGGGAGTTCTAATACAGGCAGATCTGGAAGGGAAAGAAAAACATTTGCATTTTGAGAGTCGAACCCTCAATACTACTGAGCGGAACTACTCTTAATTCAAAAAGGAGGCCTTGGCCGTGTTGCATTGCCTGCGTATCTTTAGGCGCTATCTTTATGGAAGAAGGTTTGTCCTGAGAATAAATCCGACTGCCCTCATATATTCCCTCAAGAATTTCGCGCCCACAGATCCTACTATAGCCAGATGGTTGACGTTCATCTGGATGTTCGATTTTCAATTGGAACATATCCCAGGGAACAAGAACAGGGCTGATGGTTTTTAGCAGGATAGAGTGGGAGAAGTCTGGAGACGCCAAGGAAAAGACTCGACTAGTAGATGGATTCCTATATGAAGATGATATGCAACTCCATGAGAATTCATGGACACTGAATATTAATGATAGGGAAGCAAGAAAGGGGAAATCCATGTGGTACGCTCCGACAACTTTTGTAAAAGTCGATAGTTTGGTGTTGAAACCTTTCGTTGAAGAGGACCCATGGGGAGAAAGGAATGGAGAGTGGATGGAGGAGTTGGCTTTGGCAGAAACCTACAGACTGACTGACGATCCAGTAACAATTGAGGCAGGAACGAAGCAGGTAGATCAACACCTGCTGACAAGGGAAGGGTACACTATCTTGTCAAGTCACTCCTTCAAGTTCAAGCTGAGAATGAATGTGAGATAGTAAAGGCATACGAGATCGTGTTGGGAGATGACTTTGAATTTGATGAGGAGTTGAAAAGGGAAGAGTTTGAATAGGGAGAAATCTCAGAAGATTTCCGGAAAGAAGAATATGATGGGTTCCATTTAGAAATGGGGCTTCTTCTCTCCGGGGATAAACGAGAAAGAGATGTTGGTAACAAAACTCTCCGTATGAGAGATCACTACATAGTAAGGGGGACCCATCTCTTCATCAGGGACAAAAGGGGACCTCATAGGAGGGTCATTTGTGGCAGGAATCAGCAGATCGATGTAATAGCAACACTTCATGATGGACCCGTAGGGATCACAGGAGTTTCGCCAATACAATCAAGAAGGTGACCGAGCTGTACTTTCGGGAGGATATGTATGGGATGATCCGAAAGTACTGCGAGTCGTGCGTCCCTCGCCAAAACAGATCTCCAATCAGATGTAAGGAACCCCTACATCCAAGGTATATCAGGGATGTGGGGGCAGTGATCCATCTGGATCTCCTGGCAATGCCATTGGGACTTGGACGCTATAACTATATCTTTGATGCGCGGGATAACGTTACAAGATTTGTCGATGGGAAGGCTATCCGGACCAAGACAGGGATAGTCTTGGCGGAATGCATCAAAGGATATTACCTCCGATATCATTTCGTGGTAGAATTTACGATGGACAGGGGATCTAAGTTTACATGTGGGGAAGTAAAAGAGTTGATGGATGATCTAGGAGTTATTGCCAAATACACGACCAGAGCACATCCGTAGGCAATTGCGCCTATTGAAAGAGGCCACAGCACGATTACTAATTTGCTGGCAAAGTGGACAGCTGGGAAGGCAAACCTGTAGCCAAAGTTCCTAAGAACGGTGTTCTTTGTTGAGAACATCACAGTCAAGACAACCACAGGTTACGCCCCTGCAACCCTGTGGTATGGAAGGCATGCCACGTTTCCTATAGAGAGTTTCTTAAAGACATGGCGAAGGCAGGATATCGAGAATGATATGCCTCTGGAAGAGTTGCTTGACATCAGGGCCAGGCAGGTCAGTATTACTGAAGAGCGGATACAGGAAGCAGTGGAGAGAGTGGCTGACAATCGTGGAAGAGACAAAGAAAGGTGGGATAATCTCCGCGCGTAGGGGATGAACCATTGAAAGTTGGAGAGATAGTACTGCTGTACGACTCCTCACTCGGGAAACAATGGTCAAGAAAGCTGGATAAGAGATGGTTGAGACCCTTCAGAGTCAGACGCAGAGGGAATTATGAAACTTATGAACTGAAAGAGATGGATGGAACACCGAGGAAAGACTGAATTTCAAGATCTAGGCTGAAGAAGTTTAAAATGAGGCAAAATGTGAGTTGATAAAAGATGAAAGAAAAACCTGATGATCTTGTGAAAACTTTGTTATGACTTTTCACTTGCGAATATTTTACTTTTAACCAGTTGCTGACTTTTTCCTTTATCTGTCACTCCCTTTCTTTTTCTTTGTGCAGGTGCGACCCAGGAAGCAGGCAGCCATGACACAGAAGAGAGGGATGCCAGGACAACTCCTCGAAGAGAAGGACAAAAGAAGGCGCAACTGGTAACAAAGGATTCCCATGGGATGTCTATTTACAAGGAAGGGGACAATCTGAGGATTTTTCTGAGGGAATTTGAGGAGTATGCCTTCAGGAGATAGTGGAGTACTCGGACCATGCTTGAACAGGTGGCAGGGATGGGGGAGTGCAACGAACCAATAGAACGTATAGATGAGATTGCCTTAGATTGTCTGGGGTGGATATATTTTAAGGTTGGTGTGTGGGCAAAATATGGGGACTTAACAAGAGATGAGATCGAAGATGACATCATCTTCGATGGCACCAACTTGGAGGATTTCGAGGACAACATTAACCTTTGCTCAGAGAAAAGGAGGTGGGGTGAAAGAAAGATGATGGAGCAAGTGATGAGGAGGATAGCACCAAGGGAGTATGAGGCAATGAAGAAGATCAAGGAGGAGTCGGACACCAGGGGGAACTTCCTTGTCAAAATAAGAAAGGTCTATCCCTTGGTGATGCAGAGGCAGAAAAAGAAAGAGATACTTCAAGAGCAGGGATTGTGGATTGGCAAGAGAGGAGAAAGGAAAGAAAGGAGAGCTTAGATGGAGAATGTGCGAAATATCACAGCTCCTTAGCAGGAGAATGATGAGGACAGAGCTCGAGGTGGAAATGACTCAATGAAAGAAGACAAAACAGAAGGGGAGGAGCATGGTGATAAGGACGTGGAAGGCAGTGGCAAGGCTGAAGAGGTAAAAAAGGAAGACAAGAAGGTGAAGGAAAGAAAGGGAAAGGAGAAGGACAATGAGAAGGATGAAAGAGCAGGGTCATCTGGAGCTGCTGAAGTACCTACTTCCAATGAACCTCCAAAGGAATGGGGCACAAAGAGATAAACAGAGGAAGAGAGGCAGAGAAAACAGAGAGTGGAGGAATCGGGTTGTGATCTCGTTAAAAGAAAATGAGTTGCCCTTAGACGCACCCTGGGGCCAGAAGATGGAAAGGATAATACTCTCTACGACCGTGATCAGTTCCAAACTAGAAATTGATATAGACAGGTTGATCCGGTTGCACGAGCTACTCAGGGAAAATTGTGAGTCAATCCTTGAGGATGAGGCAGAAGTGGATGGCAGGTTGAGAAAAGTGGAAGAAGAAAGGAGAAGGGAATAAGAAGTTCACATTCAGAAACTTCAGGAAAGGATGAAGGAAAAGACAGAGCTACTCACACAGGGAGTAACAAGCCATGTCCCCGCGATCCTGGAGGAAATTCAGAGGTTGAGAGCGAGAGAAGAAAGAAGGGACATGCAGTGGACAAAGGTGGAAAAGGAGATGGAAACTTTGAAGGCTGAGATGGAAAGGGCAAAGATTAAGCAAGGAAATCTGGAGGTGAAGGTAGAGGTACTAAGCACTGCTCTTGACAACAAGAGTAAAGAGGCAGAGATAAAAAATGTGGAAAGGGAGAGGCTTGAAAAAGAAATTGGTAAGTTGGAGGCAAAGGTCAGTGAACAACGAAAGGCAATTGAAACGGAAAAGAGCGAGAGGAAGCTGGAAAATGGGAAGTAGGAAAAAAAGTGGAAGAAGGTGGAGAAAGCCTTGAAGAAGTCAACAGGGGATATTCAGACAAAGGATAAGAATGAGGACAGGAAGGAAGACCTGAGAATGGAAGAAGAAGAGAAGAGACTTGATGATAACAACCAGGACAAGGGGTTGATGGTAGGAGTTGTCACCTTGCCTGAAAAGGATGAAACATCACTGACTGATAACAAAGTGGGACAGGAGAGGAAGAGATCTTACCTTGAGACATTAATTGGGGCTGCGTCACAGGATATCCCATCATTTGCAAAGAAATTAAAGGAAGAGGAGAAAAAAATATGTTGATATTGTATGAAGGGAGTCCATAGGAGGGATGACTGTCCTGGTCTTAAGACAGATAGGATAAAGGGTTAGTTAGCCTGGATGAGAACAACAGACTCATCGATAGGAGAGGGAATCTGATTAAGAGAACTAAGGAAGGATTCAGGGTTCAGTTGTATGAACAGTTGTGACTCACTTTGGAGGAGTAGAATAAAACGGTTTTGGAATCTTTTCAGACAGGCATTGTATATTAGGGGTTGAAGGTGAAGGAGGCAATATGGTGAGTTTGATATTTTCCCTTCTTGCGAGCATCAGGTGAAGCGTTTTTGTCAGGGTATGCATTTTTCACGACTACTAGGATTAGGGGATCATGTATATTATTTTGGTTCAACATTTGTACTTTAGTAATTGAGGATAGATCAGACATATGATTCAATTTTTGTCTCGAGGCTCTGAGCGTCAGTCTGAATCAGTTTGGCACATACTTTGTATTCATTTGAGTTTATTTATCCTAAGTTATTTGCGAGGTATACCTGTGGGGAACTTGAACACTTTGCACTTTCACAATTGAGTTGATCCAGTGTTTGGTTTTTGTTGATGTAATGTGTACTTTGGATATGTGTACAGTCTATCTTGAACTAGGATGCTCAGAAAAGCGCCTAAGTGTTCGAGAGTGACAAGATGGATTGAAATTTGCAAAGTTTGAAAGTTATTTTGCATCTATGATGAATCATTTTTATGCCTTGTTTATGTGATTATTTTTTAAACGGACCCTAAAAAGGGGTATGAAAAAATCAGAGTTATTATGCATTTGAGAAAACCCTGTGAATCAGAAAAAATATATGTTGTGAATAAAATGGATGTTTTCTGCATTTTGACAAGACAAAGGGGTCAAACACATACTTTTATGCTTTTATTATGGATATTTTGGTTGTCATTTTCTATTGGAAAAAAATCCCCGAGACGTGTGCCTATCCAGCATGTGATCAAGGACTGGTAGGCATAACCCCTAAGTGGCTCTGACGATGCCCCTCGATTAGAGATAAGTTTTACGATCATGTTGAATCATTCGTATTGCTATTGTTACTTTCATATATACATTCAATGGGTTTTCACCCATTCAAAGACAACTGACGAGGGGAGAAAAATATTATTTGGTCAAATTGAATTTCATATGTGTATTTCTAAAATGATCATCGCTCATCTACTTATGGAGGTCAGTCTGAGGGACTGAAAATTATCAAGCCTACGGTGAAAAATTAGCATCGTTCGGACGTAACTCCCAGCGTGGGCTGCTGACCAAGCGTAACCAGGCAGCGGACCTTCCGATTACGGCCTGGGACTAAACTTTAGGGGAGGGACTCCCTAATGATAGTATCGGTTCAGGTAAGATATCAGGGGGATCGAGAGTCAGGTCTAGATATTTGATAGGAGGTAATTATCCTGTGTTGCGTAACTAGTATAGGTATCACCATTAAAATAACAAAATGGTGGGCCACAGATCAGGCCTGATCAACCGACTATGGTGGGTTAAACCGAGGTTGTCGATCCCCTCGCATTAGATTTCGGGTGGGACGGTAAAAACAGACTTAGGTCGAGACCTGCGTCCTAAAGGGAAGGATTCATTTATGATTCCTAACTCCTCGGACACCCAACGAGATTCTGACAAATAAAGTCTAAAGTTGAGGGGAGAGGCTATCATTATCTTCCTTGGTGACCTCTGTAGCTGTAGTACAGATCCAGTATCCCCACTTTGAGTCATATGAAATAAAATTTGTTTGGTATTACAATTTTTTTATTTTTTTTTTGATATGTGGGAGACCCAGGTTCAAATCCTGGCAGTATGGACGCACCAAGGGAGACAGTGAGGGACTTCAAACCATAACTTCATCAAGGAAATCGGGTTTGACAACTTGTCGCATCAGAAGGTCTTTGTTTGCATTTAGATTCCCCAACGACGGAGACGTCGCTTAATGGGATCTAGGAAGACTGTCGGAGCTGATACCCTTACAACGGTATCCGCTCATGATTTCGCAGTCGACACGATGTCGACACCAACTGTTAGAACGGAGACAGCTAAAAACGGAAAAATGGGATAACTCCCTTGACCGTTAAGGTCATAAAGGTTTAGAATTCGCAAGGGTCGAAACACTGCACACACGGACAAGAGTCATGGGTTAAAAATTTCGAATGCTCGCAGAGCATGCAAAAACGACGGAGGTTAGTAGATGAAATGACAGTGCGCGTCATTCCGACATGCACGGAGACTGCAAAATGGTTAGTAAGTAAGACCTCTAACCGCTAAGGTCGGAGGGTTAGTCAAAACAGAAAGGGATCATGCGGGAAGCGGCGACGGTTTTTCTCAGTTAGTTGATGACTGAGAGAGTATGACTGAGTCCCAGACTAAAATATACGTGGAGATTAATAAAAGCCCCGGCCATCTGGCCTAGGCAACTAGAAAAAGGGGCCTAACCTGTTGTAACTGGCTGCGGCGGCCAACGGTGACCTCGATTTTCCTTACGGTAGGCCGCATGCCTTATGGACTGACTGGACTAGGCCCTGTACTCTACTTAGGGCGGATTGGCTCCTAATAGAACTGAACTAGGAGCTAGCCCAATAGGTACAGGCACGAACAGATATGTAGAGGATCCTTGGATCGAGTCCGACCTGCCTACGGGCTAGCTCCTTTTGCTAGTTACAGGGGGCAGGGCCTACCTTTTTCCGCCCGCCCACAAAGGGGCGGGATTCGAACCCATGACCTCGAATTTGGGGCAAGATACAGTTGTATGTGACAGTTGGCACAACGGGGTAAATAGTAGTTAGATTTTCTCTTTTGCTTTTTCTTTTCTTTTTCCTTTATTGTTATTAGTTAAATTTGTTTTCTTTTATTGTTGATTTTTAGGCCGTGGTCAAAAACCTCTCGCAGCCTCACCCCAGGGGGCACGGTAGATACAGTCAAGAAAGTTAGTAGAAGTCTCGAACGATCTAGCCACTGAAGGCTACAGCGCGACGCCACGGAAGTCCGACTCGGGGAGTTACGAACCAGGAACAGGGGAGAGAAAAGAGAAAAAAACAATCGGAAGTGAGGGAGGAGATATCGCGAAAAGCGGGGAATCGAGATCGATGGGATGCGAGGAGAGGAAGGAGAAGAAGAGGGAGGAGAGAGAGATGGAGGAGGCATAAGAGAGGAAGAGGGAGAACGCCTGTCAGATTGCAGAGGATATCGATTGAGGAAGTAACTGCGGAGGCTACAAGCGAAAACAGTGGTCGCAACGACTACGATGAGGCAAGGCGGACGGTTCGAATTTCGAAATTTGTTTAATATTTCGAGTGGCCTAGGCTGGCCCGACCCTTCGTGTATCGCACTGCACTTGATCTGGCCGACTGAGCGCCGCGCAATAGGACCCCAAAAGAGGGGCGACCCGCGTTCGCATTGGTAGGGAGCTTATCACCCTCCGTGAAAGGTCATAAGCCCCCTCCTTGCCATCGGACACGGGTACCCGCTAGTACTAGCTCGACGGTTCCCTATGAAGGAAGGGAGGGCTTGGTCGGGATCCCATTATGGCATCACTGAGCGCCAAGTCAGCCCCCTCAGGTTAGGCTGAAAAGGCGGTAGGTGCAGACCGGCGAATCACTTGGCCGGTAGTAGGAGGTCTCAGTCACCTCTCAGTTAGTAAGCAGAGGTTACGACATCATGGAAAGCCTACAAGTAGTGGCAGATAGCCGCTTGACCATTGATCTATTGGCTGGTGTCAGAGATGCTTTTTATGCCTAGGGGGCGAAGTGCTGGTGGTGGCTAGCTGCAAGACGGTACCTCACACGTATCGCGGAGTCACCAGCTTGGGTCGTGCACTGTTTGGCGCTGGGAGTGCTCGTAGAGCATTGAGCTATTCCAGACAAGCGGTTTGGCCGAGAGCAGGGCCTGTTGAACGGAGCGTGGTGGGGCGCGTAGCAATGGCCTTTTTGGCTATAGGCCAGGCCACCTGAGGTTCTACTGGAGTTGGGAGCCTATGCGCGGAGAAGGGGCTACCGTGGATGTCTGCTTAAGCTACGGCAAGAGCGACGGAGTGGCTAAGCTGAGGATCAACGTCTACGGCGGAAAGGAGCAGGAGATGAGAGAGGACATAAATATTCAGGGGGTAATCACGGAGGCTCATGACCGAGCCGAGCGAAGGTTCGGAAGGGATGGGGTGACTGCAAGTTTAAAGGTCACTGTTACTTACCACGAAGAGGAGATCTCCACGAGCACGACCGAGAGGGAACAGCAGGAGCTGGATTGGGACTTTGATGCAGAGTCCGAGGCCAGCGATGCACATACTCGATCGTGGCACGGGCTGGAGCAGTGGCGGAGAGCGCACCCGCCAGCTGAATCCGTGGAGGACGGCCCGGAGGCCAGTTCGGCCCAGGGTAGAGACTGAGGTGGACAAGACCCGAGTAGTCAACTATGCAGAGTGAGTGGACAGAGAGGCAAGAGAAGGGAGCAGGCGAGAAGGAAGCCAGCGCGTGTAGTGTGGTTGACGTCACCTTCGCTTCCGTTGAAGCAACAAGACAGTCATTCTCGCGCGGCTTAGGCTGCCATTCTGGGAAACATTCGTCCCCCATCATTCTCGACATAAGGGGGCGCTTTGTCTGGATAGAGTAAATGCGAGAACATGTCATTGCCTTCACTGTTTTCTCATCTCCACTTCAGTTGATCTCATGCTTGCCAGCAGGAATCTTGTGAGATCGTGGACTGAAAGTGGGGCATGTGAGAGCAGTTAGTGAGAAATGCTCGCAAGAAGGAAGTAAAATTGAGATGCGAAGTAAAAGAGAGGGCAGACCTGTTCGAGTAACGCACGAAATGAATTTATCGTTGATGTTAACTTCGTGCGCGTTGCCCGCGCCTCTAGCTTCATTGTACCGCCGCACGCTTCATGTCACGGGAAGGTAATCAAGGATTAAGAAGGGAAATGGTGATGAGGGTTGGTCTTTTCTCTTTTCTCTGAGAGGCGTCATTCTTGTGTGGGTTGCTGCTGACGCGAATAGTTCTGGACGGGCTTGATCCAAACTTGATCAAAGCAGAACGAGCTTCTTGCTAGTTCGGGCTACGGGATACGAGTGTCACTCACTGGTTGGGGACGTTGCCATGGCCGTTGTTTCCAGCGGATGAACCTAGCTCGCAGTACAGTGAAGTCGAAGTCGAGCTGGGGTGAGCACTAAGTGACCACGGGTGGTGCTTAGTGTTTGGTG